CCATTAGAGCCAACAAAGAGACTCTGCTGCAATGAGACTAAGAAGGAAAAAACTTTTGTTCTGACAAATTGCAAGTGAAGACAGCATCTGGATCATGAGTAGCAGAGGAGGCTTGGGGATAGTTAGATGCTCTGACATCACAAGTGATGGCCCTTTCCTTCCTGTGCCATCCTGGACTTTTTGTCCATGAATCTTCCTTTGTCTAGATCCATCAGATGCGGACATGTTCACTGAGGAGAAGATTCACACTTGACACAAAGGAGGTTTGCCCATCTCTTGCTTATGTACAAGTGAATGGCCTGGGTCTGAATCCCCCTGCAGCTTTGTAGTCTCCTACTTCCCAAGAGGTGAACCAGTGAGCAATCTGAATTGTGAAGTAGGCAGATTCTGCTGTGCTACTGTGCCTAGCTCCACATTTCACCAAGGAGCCTTGTTTAATTAACATCACTGCATATAGGCATAGTCTTTAACCTGCCAGGAATCTGTAGTAGCTGGCAGGCACAGTGGTCTCATGGGGCTGTCTCACTGGAACCCCTGTATAGGTGGGCACATATTTCTTCTCAGCTGTCTATGAACAGTGGTAATTGAGTTACCCTAGGAAACCAGGGATTGGATGTTCTTTTTTTTTTTTAATTATCTGAAGAGAATACAAAAGTTTTTTAAAAAATAGAAATGGTACAGAACTTCACCAAACAAAACAGTAGGATTTCACTGTTGCTGTATTGCATAATGTTGTTCGAATTAGTTTTTTAGATTACCAGATATAAGCATGCAAAATTGGTTTAGAAAAGCAGCAACTGCCCCCTCAGTAGACAGCAGAAAGGATGTTTCTTTCTTTTAATTTTCACACAAATGTTTTTTATTTATTTGGTGCAGGGTCTCACTGTACAGCTTAGACTTGTAGTGATCCTCCTGTCTCGGGCTCCCCAATGCTGAGACTACAGGCATGTGCCACCATGCCCAGTTTTGTTGGCTGGCACAGCACACCCAGGGTTCTGGGGCTGGCATGGCGTGTGGTACTTGGGATCTAACCCAGGTCCTTGTGTTTAGACCATTGAGCTAACTCCCCAGCCCCCAGTATGTTACTAGTATATAAAAGGCAATAAAGGAATAAAGTTCCTTTGAGAGCTTTATTCATTATTTCTTGTCAGTTAGTAGACTGCAAGTACATTATTTTCTATATATTAAAGCCAGATTTTCTACTGTATTTCTCTTCATTTAGAATTTATTTAGGAATTAAAAAAATAATTAACATGACTTATAATGGAGTCTGTCACCATTGGCCACTTGGGAATTCCAGTTAGACAGAATTAAAGAATACTACTATTTAACCTGATAGCATTTTATCTCTTCTTCTCCAGTATCTGTTACCATACTCATTTGTGTTTCACACTTTAAACTATTCCTCTGACATTTGTTGAGTATAGAGGATAGAGGCTGGCTGGGCTGTAGATTTAGCATCTAAGGAAAACATTCTGTCACTCTATCCAGCAGGAAATTGGAATGAGCAGAGACCTTCAGGAGCAGGTCATGAGGAAAGGATTGAGTCAAGGCAACCAGGGGATTATCCAGGGTCTTTAACAGGGGAGGATAAACCAGTGCCCAGGAATTGGTCAGGCAAGGTAAAAGTAGAAGGGGCAGGTCGTGTTGGCCTGAGCAACAGACTGAAATCCCGTAAGTGGTATGCATGTCAGGGCATAGTGAGAAATGCTGGTGGGGATGGTGTTGGAATAACTTGTAGATACTGTCAAGAAAATGACAGTATTTAGGACATTTGCCCGCTGACTTCCTCCCATACTCTTCCATATTCTGAAGTCACTCATGTCAATGCCTGAGGGTTGTAATGGTGCCAGGGAAGCTGAGACAGAGCCTCCATTTAGAGAAGTTCTCAGAATGTTGGGGGAAGCAGAGGTATGGGCCTTACAGAAAATGAGGGGCCTGATTCACAGCACAGGTACCCTCTGCTGAAGGACTGAAGGATGGCCATCATTTTTTTTTTTTTTTTTTTTTTTTGCTTTTAAAAGCCCTGTAAACTTGATGGGAAGAGCATTGAGCAATGCCCAGATTTGTGATTTCTACCACAATGGCATAGTATATCATTGCAGTGGCAGAATTTCTCCGCCCTCCTAGCAGAAGCCAGCTGCTAGATTTAGTGTTGGCATATGCAAGGAGTTTGAAAAGGAGAGGGAGGCAAGGTGACATATAAATTAATTTGGAAAATACTTTGAAGTCATCCAGCTGCCACCATTCCTATTTTTTTTTAAATCACCAGATGTATTGAAATCGTAATGTTCTGTAGCTTTGAAGTGGAAAAGCTGCCTACCACAAAGCCCGATTGGACATTCATATTGGAGAAGTATGTTTAAGTACTGCCTGGCTTGAATTGAGTCAAAATATAGGGAGCTTACACTTTAGGTGGCTAATTGCAAATTTTGTGCCTCATACATTAGCATCTACTGTGTTTTCATTTGAAATGTGTGGCCTTAGAGTATGTATTACTTGGCTGTGTGGAGATGGAGTTCTAGAGAATTAGATCAGTTGGAATGTGAACTCGAGGCTGTTTGGCAGAAATACAGATGGGGTGTGATGAGGAGGATAAGTATAGAGTCTGAAATGTTAGAAGCGACTTTTGAATGGCGCTCTTCCTTCCCTCTCCCACTCGTCACAGAGGCCCAGTGGAGCTCCCTGCTCTGTGCTCCTGCATCTCTGCTGGGTGCCATCCAGCTCGTCTCACAAGAACTGATGCAGGAACTCCTTCTCTGGCTGGGTCAAAGGAATTGCCATTAAGGCTATAAGTTAGTTTGCCTGGGCTGTCAGAACAAAATACTGCAGACTACAGGTTTAAGCAGCAGACAGCAGTGTTCTCACAGTTCTGGAGGCTGGAAGTCTGAAGCTAGGGCTTGCTGGGGTTGGTTGCTCAAGACCTTTCTCCATAGGTTGGAGGTCACCGACTTCTTGGTGTCTTCACACGGCTTGCTGTTGTGTGACTATGGCCTGATCCCTTTTTGGAAAGAAACAAGCCTCAGTGGGTCACAGTTCACCCCAACAGCTTCTTTTTTACCTTAGTTACTTTAAAATTCTCTGCCTCCAAATATGCAGTCATATTCTGAAGTCCCAGGTTTAGGGGTTTTAACCTGTGAATTTGAGGGAATAAAATTGAGCTCTGAAGAGAGTGAAAACTCTTGAGAAAGAGATGCACTGGACAGTTTTTGCATTACTGCTCTGCAAAAACTTCCCAGGGCTCAGACCCATTGCACCCTGGCATGCAGTCTCTTCATCTGCTACATGTGTGGGTAACTGATAATGGCAGTTTTAATGCTTTTGTTTCTCTTTATTTGCTGAACTCCTGCTGTACTGGTGTGTATAAAGTAGGTATTATCTTCACTTTCCAGAACAGCAGCTAGAAGCATAGCGATTTGGTTAAGGATCTGGTCCAAGGGGGGCTCACTGTGCATGTTCCTTCACACTGTCTAGATCCAAATATGTGGAACTATTTAACCCAAAACTGTTTTAGTGAGATTGAATGGGTTAGTCACTATGGGTTGGAACTTACCTAGGAATACTAGCTACTGCTTTTCACTGAGTCCTGCTCATAAAGAATGGTGTCATGTACACATGCTCATTTCTGTTGACAGTTGATCTTCATTCAAAGATTTTATATTTGTAAATTTGTCTCCTTGCTAGCATTTAATAGTAAACCCAAGAATAATACTCAAAAATTTTACAATCATTCAGACATGCATAGAACCCCAGTTTGTTTCCTGATGCACATATTCTCCACTGAATTTGAAGGAGAATGTCTCGGCCTTCTTTCTTCAGCTCTGACTATAAGCCAGTTTCCTTTTCATAGCCCCCCTCCCCTCTATCATATTTTTCTGCCTTTTGTTGATCTGACTATATAAAGTGACTGCTAAGTGCAGTGCTGAAGTGGGTGGAGAAGGAACACTTTTCAGTAAGAATATCATGTCAAGCAACATAAAGTTATCTGCTTCTGAATGATAGAAGGAGATGCTCTTGTATCAGTTTCTGTATAATGATTGGTCAATTAAAATTAATGAAATCATGCTGTATAAAATGTATTCATAGTCTCTATTAGTCCTGATCTCCTTAATGGGTTATTTACTAAACATAAAAAATGTGTTCTCTCTCTAGGGGCCAGGGAGATGGCTCAGTGGAATGAGTGCTTCCCTGGCAAGCGCAAGGGCCTGAGTTCAATCCCTGGTTCTGCCCCCCCCAAAAAAAAATGTTCTCTACCAGTTAACCATTTAAGTACTTGACCTTGCTACTACCAATCAGTGCTACAAGAGGAAAACTACTGTACATTTCATTGGCCATAACGTAGCATTTAAACACATTAGTTGTAGGCATGTTGATTGATGGCTTCATATTATTCATGCTAAAATAATAATTACAGTTTCTGATGTCTCACCATTTATCACAGAATGTCTTAGGAGTTTTTTATGTGTTGCATTTAATCCAACTTCCCTCAAACATTATAACTATTATTGTTCCCACTTGATGGCTAAATAAACCGAGGCACAGAGAGGTTAAGATATTTCTGAAGACCTCTAGGAATTTGCACGGCTGTCATTTAAATCTCAGTCTTGCTGATTGTTAAAGCTTGAACTCTTTACTGCCTCTGTTCTCACAGATAAGAAAAACTACCCTCTTCAAGAGAAAATGCATAGCTTTTGATCGATTGACTGCTGGCTATTTTAGAACATTATTTTAGTTAAAATCTTACAGTGATTTGTTGATTTAACTTATGCTGCAGAAGTGTATCTGAAGCTCTACTTGACTTTGTTTCATTGAGAATAATATAAACTACCTGAAAGACCATTACTGTGTAGAGATATTTTGTTGCCAGCTTTCCATGGTTTGCAACAGAATGAATGTGTGTTTGTCAGGTCTCTTCCTAGCCAGTGTCAGTTTTGAGGCCCTTGTTTATCTTCCAGAATAATCATCAAAACCACCAGAAAATCTCGTGTGCTTCTTTGCAGAAAACCATTCTGCACCTCCTGATGTAACCACATACACCTCAGAGCACTCAATACAAGTGGAAAGGCCACAGGGCTCGACAACGTCCCGGACAGCACCAAAGTATGGCAATGCCGAGCTCATGGAAACGGGGGATGGTATGTCTTATGGCACTTCTTTCTGCTGATGTGCTTTTCTATGCCTGTGATTGGATGTTTCTTATAGATATACCACTTATTGAACCTAATTTATCAGAATCTTTATGAATCTCAACAAACCTCCTTCATTAGCATGTAGACACAAGAAATATAGATTTTCTCCAGGTTGATCAAGAGTTACAGAAATTCTTAATTCTTCTTTGCTAAAGTCTCAGTCTTGCCCAGCGTCATCAAAGTTAGAGCAGAATTCAGCAATAAAGACTTTTTTTTTGTCTTTGAAAGGTGGACAAAATATTCTTGAGGTGCTATCCATCTCACTGAGTTCATGCAGTTGTGGTACCTGTGTGATTCACAATTAAATAGGAGACCAGTTCCAGTCTCTCACAGACAGCAGGCCTTGTTCAGCCCAGGGGCCCAAAGTCCCAAGTTTGTGTGCTTTTCCATTAATGCATGTGAAGTCATTCCCCTTTCCACTGAGATTCCAAGCTGCTTTTTAGTTTGCTGTAGTTCTCTGAAAAACTCACTATTTACTAGATAGTTCATTATTGTTGTTCTTGTCATCAATTTAGTAAGGTTATCATCATTGAAATCCATCACCTTTGCTTTTGTTCTATAGGCAAATTCTGAATTATAGAGTAAACAAAGAGTATACATACTTCAGGAAAAAAATATTTTAGTACTAAATTTATTGAAACATCATGAGATTAATACGTTGCCTTTAGCCTCTGCTGTCATAAGAGGTGCTCAGAGCAGTGGCCATCAGCTTCCAGGCATTTATTAGTATGGCGAAGTGCTGCTTAGGTAACCTTGGTCATTGAGTTTGCTTCACACACAATTTCAATTTCTTCTCTGAACACTGGGAGTATAGTGGGTTTTTCTGCAATATACAGCATCCTCTAGGGTCCCCCAAATGAGGGTAACACCATCTGTTGAAAAGACATCACACTTTTTATTTGCCTGAAGTGTATACATGTTAGTCTGGTGGGCTGTATATATTGTGTGGTTGAGTATTTCCTAGTATGAAATGCTCCCACATCACAATCATATGGGAGTGCTTGCAGAACAGAATTCAGCAAGCAGGTTCAAGGTTTACCTGAGACCTATTCAGTCTAGCTCTGGGGTGGTCCAGGAAAGATTTGTCTATCCTAAACTTAAGCTTGAGAACTACTGGCATTCTTGAGAAATGACGTTTGATTCATCTGAACCAAATTAAATTGGGATACTTTTTTTTTTCTCCGAATGCCTTCAGTGCAGGTTTGGCTGGCTTGAGTTGTGGGGATTGAACCACAGCAACCTGAGCCAGACTGCTTTGTTGAAGCAGCCACTTAAGGAACTGAGCTAAGGGGCAGGCCCCCTAAATTGGGATACTTAATGGAAAAATAATATATTTATCTAGTGAGCTTTCTGGATGGTATATTTTTATGTAGTTTGAAACTACAGAAAACTTAATGTCACAATTCTGATGATACTCATATAATATTTTTGAGACTGCCTGTTCAAATTATTTGTTTCTTAGAAAGTTTTTCTTAAGTTTTGTCCTGTTTCAATGTTTTCTTGTTTCAACTGTGATGGTTAGTCCATCTACCCCATGGTTCCTATCTTTCAGGAGTACCGGTAAGTAGCCGAGTATCAGCAAAAATTCAGCAGCTTGTCAATACCCTCAAACGACCTAAACGACCACCATTACGAGAGTTCTTTGTTGATGACTTTGAAGAATTGTTAGAAGGTAAAAGAACACTTTCTTACTGCTGTTTCTTTTTTGATGTCACTATGGCCCCATAAAAAGAGGATTGTTAAGGTCCAGCTAGATAACTCAGCAGACTAAGTACCCACTTAAGCAAGCACAGGGACCTGGGTTCCATCCTGGCACCACATGCTACACTGGCACTTCCCCACAGGTATGCTGAGCCAGCATGGAAGGTTGGGTGTAGAAGCATATGCCTGTAATCCCAATGTTGGGAAGGCTGAAAACAGGAGGATCACTATGAGTCCAAGCTGTGTAGTGAGACCCTGTACCAAATACATTAAAACAAAAAAATTAAAAAGAGGGTTGTTTTTATATTATTTATAAGCCCATTATTTTAAGAGCAGTAACCTTCATCTTCATTGTTCGATAGAAATCTAGAAAAATGACTGAAAATTTTATTACAGAATGAGTACTTGAAAGGTTCACCAAGCCCTGTACAACACCAAAACTGTTTGGGTACAGCACCAAAACTGTTTCCCTCAGAATAATGCGATTTTGTTCTGGGAGCCTGACCTCCTTTTCATAATGCCATAAGATTATAGAAATGCAAAATTAAATTATACAAACCCTTAGCTCACAACAGTACCTCTCTCTCTGAGCAAGTTTGTGAAGATGGCTACAGAAAACAAAAATACATGGAGGCTAGTTCTGTACCCTCTTCCTGCTCCTTGGAGGCACGGGTATTGGTTCCTGGTCCAGGAATGCCTGTGGACCTTTTAACACAGACACATTAAAGTTAAATAGAAGATCTGCTTTTGTATCAGATTCAAAGTCCTTGTCTTCTTTTTTGTTAAAATGTAAGAGTTAATTGATTTAGACAGAAATAGAGCATGTAGTACGAAAGAAAAGCTTTTTCTAGAAATGGCAAAAATACTGTAATAATTTCACTTCATCTATTTAAAAAAACATGGAAGATTATATTTTATTATGATGCATTTAGTTTTATTCTGGAAAAGGAAAAGACTTATTCCATGCTCTCGTTATTCAATGTGGTTGTAGCAAGTTTATATTAACATCTCAGGAATTGAAAACAAAGCGTAATTTAACAAAATTTGAGCTCTTTAAGGTCCAAATTGTATGTGTATAACTAAAATTTTAAATGGATATTTAAGTACTGTACTCTAGCCAGATAGTTTTGCCTCTTGTCACTGCACATGTACTCACTTCCTGCTGAGCTGTCTATTCCATATTGCCTTGGAAATTTTAAGGTTTCTGTTACACCCATGAGGGCTAGTACATTATCATTTTAGAAGAGCATCTCTTTTCTGTCAGTTAATAAATTTATTCCATGAAGTAGGAATCTCTTAGCTTCTTTATAAAGCTAATCATACTAATATAGCTGTATTTTTTGAAAAACCTTTGTATTCAAATGTATTTAGTTCAACAACCGGATCCAAACCAACCAAAGCCAGAGGGAGCCCAAATGCTGGCCATGCGTGGGGAGCAGCTAGGCGTGGTAACGAACTGGCCACCATCCTTGGAAGCTGCCCTTCAGCGCTGGGGGACCATCTCCCCAAAGGCCCCCTGCCTGACCACTATGGACACAAATGGAAAGCCCCTGTACATCCTTACCTACGGTAATTCTATAAGGCTTATTCATCTCTCATTTTGCTTGTTCTTGTACATTTCCTCGATTGAAAGTATAGAAGGTAAATTTCTTTGGGGATGGCTAGTTTATATTTGTTTTGCTGTATATGTTTCTGGCACAGGAATAGATGGCATCTAAAGGGATATTTTAAGAAAATTATTTTGTGAGTGTGAAAATTTAAATTTTAAACTTTAGAAGCATAATTTGATAATTAATGCAGTAATCATAACCCCAAGATGTTAGATTTTTACCTCTTGAGTATCTGTGTGATTTTGTTGAATACTTTTAATATGGGTTGAGAAAAAAAAATATATATATATATATTTCACATTGACATGGGGTTGGGTCATAATTTCGAAAGACACAGTCTCAAATGCTGTTCTTCAAAATGTTGAAATGAAAAGAACAAAATCCTTAGGGACTACAACTTTATTGTTTTGTTTTTTTTGCGGTACCAGGGATTGAACTCAGGACCTGACTTGCCAGGCAAATGCTTATTTTACTGAGCTATCTCCCTGGCTGTAGGACTACAACTTTAAAAGAGATTCCTAAAATGTAATTCTGGGAAAAGTTTTTGGGTTTTGGGATTTTTTTTAATTTTTAAATTTTTATTTTTTTAATTTTAGGACAGGTCTTGCCATATAGTACAGGCTAGCCTTCAACTTGCAGCAGTCCTCTTGCCTCATCCTCCTAAGTGCTAGGATTATGGGCATATATCACTCATCTGGCTCAGGAAAAGGTTTTGTAATTCTTTAAAAAAATATTTATTGTTTCAAAGGGAATTTGAGAAATAAAAACAGAACCTCTATAGTACTTTTTCTGTATTTCATAGGCTATTTTACACAACAGGTAGTAAACACTTTTGCAAAAAAAAAACCATAACACTCATATAGAATTCATGAGATCCACACTTGTTTAACAATTCTAACTACTGTACCTAAGCCATATTTAAAAAGAAATAGGTCAAAAAGGAAAATATGTAAATGGACACCATTATGATTTGTAATTCTGTGTACACAGCTTTAAAACTGGAGTAATCAACAATATTGTAGCAAACAAGATAAATAGAAAACCATGATGTGTCATGACTGTGTTTTGTATCACCAAACAAACAGATCTTGAGACATTTTGTATTACAAATACAGGTATACAAAAAAGGACCTCTCTTCATTTGAGGAAATGTCAACATTTTTATTTACTACAGAGTCAGTGTTGCAGTAATTTACTTTAAAGTTAAATCTGAAAAGAAAGAAAATTAGTTAGAACTGTCTCAGTCTTTACACAATTTATAACTCCATTATTGGAAATGGTGTTGAAGAGATAGATAGATAGATAGATAGATAGATAGATAGATAGATAGAGAGATAGATAGATAGATAGATAGATCATGTTGAATGGATAGATAGATAGATAGATAGATAGATAGATAGATATCATAGCAACTTGTGAAATGTAATGCTGATAGTTTTAAGTAATGGAAAACTATAAAAGCCCAAAGATCCCAGGGAGCCACTGGTCTCTGTCATGGAGTCCAAGGGCTGATGAAACTGGAGTTCTCATGTCCAAGGTAGCAGAGGGAACTTTTGTCATAGCTCTCAGAGAAAATTGTCTTCCAGATCCTTGGCTGATTGAATGGCACCACCTGTACTGAGGATGATTGCTACCACCTAGTCTACTCACACACCAATCTCCTCTAGAAACTGAAACGTGACCCCCAAAATAATGCGTGACCATATTTCTGGTTATTCTTTGTGCCATCTCTTCCCTAGAATTTGGTTTTTGGTCCCTCTTGCATAAATCATTTAAGAAAAATTTCTCCAAGGGCCAGCAAGATAGCTCAGCAGACTAAGCTCCTACTTAGGCAAGCACAGGGACCAGGATTTGATTCCTGGCACCACATGCTGTGCCAGCCCTGCTCCTGGGCACACGGAGCCCAGGTGTAGTGGTGCACACCTGTAATCCCAGTGCTAGGGAGGCTGAAAACAAGAGCACTACGAGTTTGATCTGCATAGTGAGACCCTGTACCAAATACATTAAAAAAAAAAATTCTCCAATAGCTATTGTAGTTTGAAAATTTTCAGGATTAGAATTTCTATCTTGCAGGATTTGATCTTTTGAGATTTTAGACTATGGATTTTAATTTTGGGATTATGGGACTCAAGATTATGTCACTCAAAAGTATGAGTGGCACTATATTATTTATTTATTCATTTATTTATTTATTTATTTTTGTGTAATAATTTGTTATTTATGAAAAGTCTTTACAAAGATTGGTTTTATCTGCATGACACTCAAATAAGTAGAGTAGGTCCCATATCCCACTTGGCAGATGTGGAATCCAAGCTTCAGACAACTGAGCTGACTTTCCTCTTAGCTGTGTGGAAGCAGAGCCAGCGGCCACAGCCTCCATCCTTTTCCTTCTCAGTTCCTGTGCTTTTTCTGTGTTACTGTGTTCTTTCACTCAGTCTTAATATTCTTAATTTTCTTTAAGATGATTGTTGTCACCTGTAGAATTGCCAGGGGATTCTTTTTTATTGTTCGGAACTTTCAGGTGAAATCATTATTTGTATCTATTTATATATGTTACTTACAGTATTTGGAGCAGATTTATCATAAAGTCCTTTTTTTGCCATAATTTTATTGATAAATAACAATGAAAGTTTCAAATCAGATCGGTAGGACAGTTTCAATAATTAACACACTGCATACATTCTTGTTGGTGGTTAATTGCTGTACAAGATGTGGACTTGATATCCTATTTACAAAC